TTTAAGGCACTGCAGAAGAAATAACCCCATGGAATTAATTACTTGTACCTTCACCATGTTATCACACTCAAACTGAACTGTGGAATCATGCAGTCACTTGACCCACTGCTAACATTGGAAAGAATTGCAATAAGTTTAGGTCTCTGATCACATTGGACTCCGCCAATGGCCTTATGCCATTTCTACATATACTAGCTCCAATTCAAGTATATTGCAAAACCAGCAGCCCCTGTAACATCTGACTGGGCCTGGAAACTTGCCTCCACCAACCTCTTAAATCTCTCTGAACAGACCCTGTTAAAAACCCTCAAAAACTCTTCCTAAACAAACAGGTTCACCTACATAGACCTTGGCCCCAGTCACACGGGCCGGATATCACGGGGGGGAGGCGTGGCTAATTGCCCCGAAGAAACTAACGCGCGGCCGCCTGAGCACATGTCCCGGTCGAGGTCCCGTGGTTAGGGGGGAGATGCTGACCAGACGGGTATCCTGCAGCACGGCACAGAAGCTGCACGGCGCGATCGCACTAGCAATCGCTCTTTGTGCGCATGCGCTGTTGGGCGCTGTTGCACAACCTGCGGAGACTTGGGAGACAAAAAAACCCCTTGTGTGTGACGAACAGTGGCGGGCGCCGGATGCCACGTAAGTCCACCGGAAACGTGATCAGATGCCCGCCCTTGCCCCGTGGCTTCTGGAAACTAGTACCTTGGAGGTACTAGTTTTTTACTCCACATCTTCGGCGGGAAGCCTCGGGTTAGCCACGGGAGCTCTACGCTTCCCAGATGTTGCGGTGTGATCGCGCCTGGAAAATCCGCCTACCGTCCGTATCGTCAGTGCAGCAAATGCTCCGTGTGACCGCAGTCCTTGACACTCTAACTCTGTGATTGGGTAAGTGTGTCTCTAATAGTTCTATAGGGCACACTTTTTGGAAATTCTAATTAGCTGTTCTTAACTTGTTTTAACCAATTATAACCTTGAACTAATAGCAGTATGCTTATTCACTTGAACCTCTGACCTCTCTTACCATCCAGTATGTGTATCTGCTAATTCTGTTGCTTTATGATAGGATTCACACCTAAGCTTTCTGTATTAGTTCCTCTTTTCCCCATACATTGTGAATTTAGACTTGAAAGACTCGAGGTGTAATTCAGAGCCTTGGCTCCTCCCCTTTAAGAGTTCCCAGTACGATTTTCCCTTCCCACATCTGTCAGAAGAAGTGAGCTGTCACTCACAAAAGCTCATATAGAAAGAAATGCTGCTAGTCTTTAAGGTGCCACTGGACTTTTAAAATGAAGGTGGCATACCAAGACTTGAAACTGCTGTGGCGTTGTTTTCTTTGCCTCACTTGCAATCTGAATTAGTTCATTTAATTTTGCCTGTTTGTCCTCAGGAAGTCTACACAGTTCACTTTCTGTATCTGTCAAAACATACAAATGAACTAGCACATTTCCTTGTGCCAGAGGCACTCCCAAATCACCAGCCAGCTGCTGAAAGCCTTCTATTAATGTAGCACATTCACTAGCCCCTTTTTTCCCCGTGAACCAAAAATCATCTAAATAATGTGTGACATTATCTGACCCTAAAGGCCCATTCAAGCAGTAAGCTAAAACTCTGAAAAGCTGAGGGGGCAATGGCACATTCCACAGGTAATATCTTATCTCTATAATCATTATACACACACACTATATATATAATCAACAACTCAAAATCTACAGGATGAATGAGCAGCAATTTATATAATGATTGTCCAATATGGCCCCTGATCTACAACACCTTATCACTAACACAGTACTGACAAAGAGGCATGATTCACTGTACATAAATAACTGGGAACACCATTAGTCCGTGACTGCCTCTTAGTCTGTGAAAAATGATGCATGCTCCTGAACTCTCCTGGTATCATTTTAGGCATCACTGCCAAACAGTAAACAGTGCGGGGATGGGAAAGGTACTTAAATGGATCATTCCCTCCCAGACCTCCTTGGCTAGCTTTCCTCTCACTAGCCTCCATTCCCTTCCCTGACATCACATTTCTGGTCAGCCCAAACATCTCATGACTGATATAATGAAACAAAACACCTCAGGCTACAGTTCCCTCATGGCAGACAGATAGCTGGCATGAGGATTTTAGGTCAGATGTGCACCTGCATTTCCAGGCTGGGAACTCAGCTCTTGAGTGTTCAGGGGCCAAGTTTGGCCTGGGGATTGCAGCACATGAGGAAAAGTTGCTCTGACCTCCTCCTGCCATCTCCTGCTGTGCTACGTGTAACAAACCCAAAACAGTTCTAGGGACCTGCATGTTGACCTTTTGAGGAAACGTCCAGGTAGCCATCAGTACATGTATATTTCCCCAGTGGGCCTTTAGTAGCTCTTCAGGGTTGTTTCAGGTTAGAAAAATGGGGGGAGAGGGCTGTGAAGCCCTTCTTCTCATGTGCCATGGACCCAGTCTGAGTTGGGCCAACACATGACTGAGAATTAATCTCCCAGCTGGGAGCTCCCAGAGCATATCTATAGAAAGTCAGCATGGGTTGAAACATGGACTTTGTGACATGTGAATATATCCTAATAGATGCTTGGGGGCAGGGGTTGTTTCGTAGAAAAAGCGGTGCAGGAGCTCATTAGCACAACTCATTAGCATACCTTATTTGCATATAGCACACCCTCTGCTATCACCAGAAGTGTGTCAGAAGGCAACTCCCACCACTCAGGCTCCACTGGACTGTTGTGGATTGCTAGCTATTGGGAGGGGGGATGTGTAGATCTGTCCTCACAGAGGAGGGAGAGCTTGTACCTGAAGGCAGGTGGGGGGGGGCTATGCAACTTACTTGGCTGCTTTTTGCTTCTCAAGACCCACCTGAGGGCTGCTGGGAGCAGGGGGCGGGGCTTGTTGCATGGGCCCGCCCCCTGGGCTCCTGCGCTCCCACAGGAAATGACCCCTGCTTGGGGGGTGCTTTTGGTTTGGAAAAGCATTGTGTGGTTTAAACCCACACAGCACTTTCCTTGTCAGATTAACAACTCCAAGTAGCTGCTTTAAAGAAAAGAACAATCTGTCATGTCACAGGTGTTTTGAACCTGAGAACTAGGCTTTATAAACTACTGCCTAAAATACTCCATATACTAAAATATACTCAAAATCCCACATGAAGAGCCATCCAAGCTACATTTCCTCTTTTTTGTTCGTATGCTTCATGTGTGGTGATTCTTGAAGATACTGCAAAGAATTATACTAAAATATACTCAAAATCTCACATGAAGAGCATCCAAGCTACATTTCCTCTTTTCTGTTTGTATGCTTCACGTGTGGTGATTCTTGAAGATACTGCAAAGAAAACAGGATTGGGATGATGAAGGTTTTCTTCGTTCAAACAACCAGGGAAATTTTACTGATGTTTGACCACTTCATTTCCTTCTTAATGGGACTTCCTTTGGATCCAATAAGGTGCTTCAGTCTTTTCTCTTTCTTCTAGTCAGATTTCCTATCCCCCCCCCTTTCTTGTTTCTATTTTGCTCTAGTTGGAAGCATCATGCTCCAAAGTGGGTTTTTCATTATGTGGATGAACAAAGACCTTCTTTGACCTGGATTTGGATGCCTCTCTGATGGCCCACTTCACTGATGCCAGCTGAGCATTGTGCTTTTAATTGATGAAATAATAATGAGGAACCATGCTTGAACTTGCTCCAACAACCACTTGAAGCAGAAGCGGTGGTAAATCATGCTGCGCTGGCTCCCAGTGTTAGCTGGCCTCCCCTCTTGCTTGGGGGTCTCATGCTTTTCCCGATCTTTGGGTTCCCAAAACATGTAGGCACAAGATTGCTTCTGTTTTTGTTTTAAAGCTCTCCAGTCCTCGTATGTTTTACTGTTGTGAAAAGTATCTGTTAAGAAAAGCCTTTCACTTTTTTTTTTTAAGGAAAGCCCTTCTAATGTCTAATGGAAGGGTGTCTTTATTACCAACTGCATTAATCTGATTAAATGCAGATGAACTATCCAGAGGGAAGGCCCCAGTCAAACTGTCTAACAGAGGCAATATATCTGTTCTGTAACCATTCTTGTTGCTTGTTCAGCAATGCTGCAGCCATTGACAGGGCGGTGCAGCAGCTCCTCAGTTTAGCATAGTCCTTATGATTTTTTTTAACCAGATGTTCCCACCCTTCTCCTTTATTTGCCTTTGAAGAAAAATAGTGAAGGGTCTTAACTCTCCTCCTGTCTGGTTCCCAGAAGTATAGGAACTAAAGCCCTGTTCTCCCTCCCTGGTATTTTCTCTGCCCAGTGTGCAAGCCTGTGCTGTGATCAGCAGCTGGTGTTATTTGAGGTTTGGGGAAATGGTTCAAGATTAAATAAATACAAACATTTTAGCAAACCTTTAAAAAGCCTCAGGGGAGGTTACTTTCAGTCAGCACAGTCGGTGAGATCACACCTAGGCTATAGATGGGACTCATCCCCACATTTGCCACCTGCATGTGTCATTATATCTGGCATTTGGGCTGGAGAGCACATAAGCGAACGTAAGAACATAAGAGAAGCCAATGCTGGATCAGGCCAATGGCCCATCCAGTCCAACACTCTGTCACACAGTGGCCAAAAATACCAGGTGCCATCGGGAGGCCCATCAGTGGGGCCAGGACACTAGGAGCCCTCCCACTGTTGCCCCCCCCCCAAGCACCAAGAATACAGTGCATCACCTGCCCCAGCTTGTGAGTTCCTATCTATACCTTGTGGCTAATAGCCACTGATGGACCTCTGCTACATATGTTTATCTAATTCCCTCTTGAAGCCATCCATGCTTGTAGCCGCCACCACCTCCTATGGCAGTGAATTCCATGCGTTAATCACATGTGTTAAGTGCAGTTCTGCAGCTGCCTCCTTCCTACTAAGGCTGGATTCAGTGTGTTGCACACTGTCCTTTTTGCCACATAGCTACAGCAACAACGCCTACATATTTTCTTCCAGTTTGAGAGCCAGTTGGGTGTAGTGGTTAGGAGTGTGAACTCTAATCTGGGAGAACCGGGTTTGATTCCCCACTTTTAAAAAAAAAGTCTTTAAAAAGGCACTTGAGGAGTCACAGTTCTTTCAGAGCTCTTCTCTCAAGCGCAGTCCTCGAAAGAGCTCTCTCAGCCGCACCTACCTCACTGGGTGTCTGTTGTGAGGAGAGGAAGGGAAGGAGACCGTAAGGCACTCTGAGAGTCCGAGTGAAGGGCCAGGCATAAATCCAATCTCCTCTTCTCTTCTTTCCCCCAGTTTGTTGTCGTTTCACGTGTCTTTCGAAGTCATTATTCCAGCAGGCTGCTTGGATATTGACAGGAAAATGTAACTCCAGGTTTGCTCAGTTGGTGCCGGTTTAAAATTCAATTACAATAAAACAAGAATCTCATAAAGTGCTAGTGCTGACACATTAGATACATAAGATGGCATGCTGGAAATACCATACCGCCAGACAGTTTGCCATTCAATGATCTTCCTGAGCACAGTGGTAGAGGCCAGATGTTAGCACTATGGGCCGGCTCATTGGTAGTAGTGGGGGTGGCTCCTAGTTGAAAGCCTGGTGTGTAGGACAGCAGTGCAGATGGATCCACTGCTCTCCTGGCTGTTCTCCTGGCTGGAAATTGGGAACTAGTAAATATGTGCGTAGAAGTCTGGTGACTGCCTAAATGATGCAGTCAATTAGGCCTTGGCAGTTGCGAGAGCGATAAGGAGCTGTGAGCTTTTGGAATCAACACATTCCATGCAATGAACGTATGCTTGTAACTTTCCCTTACATAAGGGAGAGAGGAGGGGGGGAAAACTAGAAACTAGAAGCTTATAAATAAACGCTGGGAAGCCAAGAGGTTTCAGTCAGTTCCTGCAGACTTGTGTCGTGTCTTCTTTGAACCGTGGCTCATGGCCTGTTTGGCTGAGAGGGTCACAAATTGGCCCCGTCCAGCAGTGAAATGTCTGGCAGTGACATTTGCCGGAGAATGGGTAGTCTGTGGGGCTACAGGAGTGGTGCAGTGAGCAGGAGAAGGGAGTGAGGGAAGAGTCAAGAGAAGACCCTTGGGAAGTGGAAAGATTGGGTGGAAGAGTATGACATGTGCACATATTGAGAGCGGCAGAAAACAAGTGTTTTTGACAAAGTAATGACTCTGTCTCTCTTTTTGCTGTAGTTATTTATTTATTTATTTATTTAATTTATACCTCCCGCCCTCCCTGCAAGCGGGCTCAGGGCGGCTTACATAATTGGTCTG